TTATCAGTCTGTAAATGAGAAATGAAATGAGTGTGTGATGCTGTGCCAGGGGAAGAATGGAACAGCTAGAAGCCTTTCAAAAATGGAGGATGTGGAAGAGGGGAAAGAGGGGAAAGAGAGGAGGGAGGACAGGGGGTGGGTTGAGTGCAGCACTCTGGTGATCATCGACAAGACGATTCAAAGCGGAAACATTTTGGAACACTCTGCAAATGTATGAAATTACACTTTAGAATTTAATTGCCCCTTATTGAAGGCTTCGCTGTGCGCTTTCACAATGCAAGAAGATCCTTTATGTTTTCAAACAATCAGTCAGGTACAAAAGAGCTGTGTTGCAACTGAAAATATGTCCAATCATCTCAGATAGATACTGTATCCTCGTTTGCTGTATTAGGCTGAATGCTGAAATTAAATTTCCTGCTTGCTCCACTGCAACTTAAATATCAGACTTCAGTGGTTTGCTCTTCAAATTTTATATAGTCTTATAATTATATGGCACTTTTCTATGCATTGAAGCATACTCAAAGCAGTTTGCACTATTTTCCATTCACACACTTCGACATGTGAACTGGAAAAGCCGGGGATCGAACCACCAACCCTACTGTTAGGAGACGACCCGCTCTACCTCCTTAGCCACAGCTGCCTCACATTATGCTAATACAGAAAAGTTAATACCATCACCTTGAGATAGGACATTGTTGAAACAAATTTACCACTCCAGCAAAGGGGTTTACACACTTAATTAATCTGTAAATGGGCAACAGCACACCATACTGTACCTCAACTACGACTGCCAGTGCATTTAATGAAAACTAAATGTTGATTCAAGTCAGTTGTAGTAAAGGACAAATAGCGTAATATGTGATATAATATTTAAAGGGTACTTTCCAAAAGCCCCCCCAGCTTTTAGTCAAATGACATAAAGAGCCTACTTGTCTGTTTCTGCTCAGCAATCTAGAAAGTTGTCCATTTGTTCTGCTTTTTATAGCTTCACAAACTGCCTTTCAGCTGTAATTACCCAAAGTTGTTCTTGTCCAGGTTTATCTGGCTATAAAATGCAACTCTGGGCCATCTCAATGTTCTGCAGTCTAACTGGCCCACTAAACTACAGTTGCTTTATCCTGCAGAGTCACTCTCATTTCAGCCCAATCAACAGAAATGCTTTGCAGCCCCAGACTGCTGTTTAATAGGATATTAACATCCTGATCAATCACCTTAACTGATATTTTTTAGGCATTAACGCTCTCAAACTCTAACAGATGTAATTGTCAGATAGGGAGTGGGATCCCCATCGGCAGTAATTGGGCCATTATGGATGCAGGCATGACTGAGAGATTTAGAATGCCAATGACATGAAAGATAGATAGAGCCAGGGCCTTTGTGGGTGGATCTGTATATCACTCATGCTTGGGCACCAGAGAATTTCCTGCTAAAAGGCTGGTCTAAATTAGCTAGGGATGCACTTAGATGTGATTTTAACAACCCCACACATGTGTGCACAAATGTATGTGCGAGTAAAAAGTGCAGTGACTGTGTTTTTTTCTCGACTGCACCCGGTGTGTCATTGGCAATGATGCCATATGGCATCTTGTGTCGACTGCATTTGCGTTGTGTGTTGTGCCATTAGATCCAGGAGCCAAGGAGTGACTTTGGCATCTTCATTAATCCTGACTAACTCCTGTGTACCAGGGAGCCCAGTTCCATGAGAGCCTGCTGATGCTAGCACAATGTCACAGCTCACTCAGTCACTGCTCCTTCCCCCTTCAGTGCACAGCAGGAGGAAAGGGACCAATTGTTTGCAAAATACCTTTCATTACTCCATTGGCTGAAAGCATTTGAAGTGAATTTGTGTGAATTATTGCCCATAGCTGAGTTTATGATGAGAAATTTCCATAAGTGCACTTTGAAGATGCCTTTTATTGAAGATTGGTAGAAATAGCTGGTAGAAAGCACTGGAAAAGGATTGCAGAGGCTATGTTACATTTTTGTTCTTGTTAAATTGGTTTTGCTTTTTTGCCTTAAAAACAAAAGCTATTAAACATGACTTTGTGCACTTACTTGTGTCTTTTTTGGGGGGTCAAGAAAAGCTGGAACTGTGTTAAGTTTCCCATGGAAGAAGGGCTGAAGGCAGAGCCCAACTTTTATAACGTGTAAGAGTGCTTCAAATTAAATAATGAATTTTGTACTCATGTTACAAAAGAATGATCTAGTCAGCTGTATTGAGTTTCAGTTTTTTTAAGATGTAATATGTAGCATGCTTTGTACAGAAAAAGCACCGCCTGGAGCGTTTTCCTCTGAGGTGTAATAAAACCTGGAACATGAATCTTGTTTCCATAACAACAGGCTGCTAATTTCAGTTTACCTGTTGCCCTGTTACAGGCATGTTAGAATATTTAACCATGTTTAATTATAACAGCGACAAATTTCTCCACTGGTGCTTTCTCCACCTTTGCTGCTGGGGAAATATAAAGCCCAGCTTTTTCTTTGTTATCACTGAGTGGTTGCCAAAAAACATTTAGCAACATTCACATTTTTTTAAAAATCTAGCTGTATTCTCAGCATTACAGTATGTGGCTGAAACCTGTAGACTTTTGTGAGGCAGCAGCAGCACATCCTTAAATAGAGATAGCTCACAAGTGAATCTGTTTGATATCTAAAGAACAAGTTAACAAAGCAAGAAACATTGATTTACCTCACTTACAGTTGTGGTTTAAACTTGCTGCAGTCATGTACAAGTGCACTCCAGAGTGTGTCATTACACCATGACATCGCTGGTGGGTGCAGTCAGAGGTGCAACATGCATAACCATTCATGAACTTAGCATTCTTGAACTGTGAATTGTTGAAAATATGGTAGCTAATACTGTAATTACTTAAAACACATAGTACACTACATGTAACCCAGTGAAATGATGGGTTCTGTAAACATGCACATTCCTAACCCACCTAATATGAAGTATCATTCCAGATTAACCTTGGATTGAGTCAAGTAATAGTTGGGATAAAGGTATTATTTTGGGATGGCATGGACTGATCCCTCAACCGTCTGTAACAAAGGGCAAAGCCTCCCAGTCACTGCAACAAGTTTAGTTTATTTTGCAATAATGCTATACCATATAGAACAACAAAGGTACATTTAAAAAGACACTTCTCTCTGTGCCTGTTGGATTAAGTCTGAATTTCTGACAGTGCCTGTCAAACAGTCTATGTTACAGAAGAGACCATGATCACAACTGTAACCAAAAGTGTTTAAATCAAAAGTGTTTAAAAGAAATACTTACTGGTTATGTTATTTTTTGGCTCCTGCAGAGAATGTGAGTGCCTGCAATGGGTTTATAAAGATAGTGTTAGTATTTTCTCTGCCCCTTAGTAATGTCATATATCATTCTGATTTGCAGCTAGGAATGCATCATTGCATTGTTATTTGGTTTAAGCTATGTTTGCTTTTTCCCTAACCATGGGTGTCATGAATTGCAAAAGAAAACACGGCGCACATAACCTGCTTGCTATTGCTTCTGTTAACTGCAAGCTGAAAATACACACATATGTTTTTACCACTGGTGTTTTGCTTTTTCCCCTGCCCACAATGACACGGCGTTTTGACTGAGCAGGAAAGCCGCTATGAACAGAGCCATTACACCAAGGTCAATTGTATTTGTCAGAATGTGTCTGACTGAATGTATCACATTATCTCATTGTTTTTCCTCTAGGGCCTATGCATCTGTTCAACTAACAAATGAGCCTAGAAAAAAAAAAAACGTGCTGACAGTTTCCCTGCCAATGTATTCAGGTCACTGTGTCTGTTAGTTAGATAGGCAGATCCGAGTACCTCAGTGTTGGAGGAGACTCCTCCGTCTGGAACATAGTTTTTAGCATATGAGAGATCAGTTTGTGATAGACTGCATGGAAACTAATATGTGTATATGTGTTTTCTGAAAAAACTTTAAACCTTCTTCTGTTTTATGTGTCAAGCTTCTGAATCCACAATTTCAAGGTCTGACTGTAGCACAGAGTGTGGAGTGCTCTCAGAACATTTGTCTCAGCATGAGACATTTTATGCATCTCTTTTTCAGTTTTTTTACCTCCGCCAAGGAGCTTTATGTTTTCTGGGGGGAAGGGGGTTGTGTGTGTGTGTGTATGTGCGTGTGTTAGCAGGATTATGGACAAACCGCTGGATGGATCATCAGCATACTTGGTACAGACATCGGTGGAGACCAACCCTAGAAGTGATTAGATTTTGGCTGAAAAGGGTCAAGGATGAAGGTCACAAAAATAGCATAAATAAATAAATACCCCATCTTTAACATGGGGCAAAAAAAAAAAATAGAAAAATCATATCTCCATCAAAAGTTATCCAAATCATTTTTGTTTGGAATTTGACACACATACTGTATGTAGGGTGGCAATGTCTATGACCAGACCAAATTTGGATCCGATCTGGATTCTGGATCTAACAGTCATTTAAACTGAACATTGAAAACCCCATTTAACGCATATTTTATGCCATAGCTTGGCCTATAATGAAGATAGAACCCTGAAATGTTCAGGTAAGATGCACTGTATAACTGCCTATCATATCATAAAAGATGATCCAGATACAATATGGATCAAGGATTTTAGGACACCTTTTGTGTTGTTCTGGATCTCATTTTTCACACGGGGCCCATTTGTGTGAGTAAGTATTGTGCCTTGGCAGAGGTACGTGAGCTGTCTGAGTGCTCTTGTTAAAGCAGAAGATAGGGGAACGCCAAGATAATTTCAAATTCATCTTGTGGAAAACATACATGTCTGTACCAGTTTTCATGGCAATACATTTAACAAAAAAAATACAAATGTGAATCTTAGGGTGGCACTAGAGGAAAAGTGAGAATGTCCACAAAGTCAGTAGGATTCATCTACTGGGGACCGTGAATGACTGCCACATTTCCTGCCAATCCATTTTATATAAGCTTTCCACTGATCAACAGTAACCAACATTATCATCTCTGCATTAATTATCAAGCATGGCTTAAAAAAACATGCATGAAGAGGCAGAAAGACAGAGGAGCGTGCAGAGCATACAAGAGGAAAGGCAGGCTAATTAGATCCACTAATAATTAGTGAACTATCCATGTTGTAGGTATAACATATGCGTGCTTGTAGATAGAAAAAAACGATAGATGGATTAACACACACCGACTGATGGATATAAGTTGCAGCTATTACCTTGAAGAATAAAAACAACCACAAGAGTGAAAACATTCAGACCAAGTCACAGTAAGATTACAAAATGGTTATTATGATTCCTTTTACCTTAGGTGTAGATGTGAAAAAAGTTCTAAAACCAGGGTGATGTCAACATTTGCGCTGATTCTGTGTAGAGATGCAGTACAAATGTTGACATCACCCTTGATTCACTGTGCTGCTCAACAGGTATCGAGCAAAAACCCCAGTTTAGAGTTGCACTTCTTTGTCAGCACAGAGAACTTGGTGAGAATACATCAGAGATAAGCGTGTTCGTCTGACTGAGGTATTCTCTTGGAGATGGGCGAAGTGCTGTCTGACTTTGCACATTTGTTTTCTGCATTGAACCGCGTCAGCAGTTCATCTTGATAACAGAAAGGGCTATGTGAGCGGATTTGGTGAAATAGCCTTTTGTGAATATAATTTGAAAAGCAATGTGAGAGTGTGTGAGGGGTGAACATAAAAAAAAAGAACTGATTGTATCATCAAACATTTTATCTCAGTGCCTTTTGCAGTGCTGACCTGTATCTCAGAATTTCTTGATTGACTTTTTGCATCATGTTTCTTTGCGCTCATTTTTATTTTTTTATTTATTTGGGAGGGGGCGGGAGATGGGGGCGGTAGATTTAGTAGTTAGTTGATATAACTTTTATGGTACCTAGTACACTTTCTGTGTGGGCAGCAAAGTGCTCTCAAAGACGCAAGCAAATATACAGCACAGTGTATTAGTGATTGAAAAAAAGACTGAAGTTGCACTCAAAGTGTTTTATCAATGCATCCAAGATCTCTATTTTTCATGTGAATAGGACTGTGAAGTGGCTAGATGGAACATGCGACAGAAAGAACTCGCGAGAGGGATTCTGAGAGGCCAAATGGAACCCTCTTCAGCCAATTACAGTCCTGGAGGGTGCAGTACAGTTGATCCCCATGGTAACGCAGATGAAGGGCACAGCACTCTGTACCTCCTCCTGCTCCTTCTCTGTCCCCATCTTTTCATGTGGAAATGTACTCCATTGTCCTGAGCTCCACTCACAGAAATGGCGTCCTAGGGAAATGGCATCCTCATTCGTGGAAGGCTTTCTAGCGAAGGAGAACAAGTGGGGGAAAAATGGTCCTCAAGGTGCACATGAAATAATATTTCTAAAGAGATGATGGAAAGACCCAGACAGGGACTTTGTTTACCTGTTTACTAATTTAACATGCTTTCAAGAAGTTGTAAAATGTACTTTGTCTGTGGAGTGGAGGAAAGTAATGATTCATAAATACATTAGCACATGAATCAAAATGAGACAGTTCCATTAGCATGATTGTTTCAACATCCTGCCATATAAGACCTGCCTGGAAAATAAATGGCTTTTGGAACCAAAAAAAACACACGAGTCACAGGCTATTTGTGCCCATTCTAGACACACTAATACAGGTCAAACTCATGCCAGTGGTCAGTTAGAAAGGGGAAAATGTATCATCTAACTTAGGCTGAACACTGTACACAGCCTGGTTTTGATGAAAAGATATCTCTGTTGGTGGTGAGGATTTCAGAAATAGAATCAGCCTTATTGGCCAGGTGTGTTGGACACAAGGAATCTGACTCTGGTACAGCAGCTCTCAATGTGTATATACATAACCTTATGTAAGGCAATAGCAAAGGGCAAGTAAACAATATACCAATATAATATATACGTAGATTGTTTATATTGTACTGTATGTAAATTCACTGTGTACTTGTATTAACAGTATAAACAAAGCAATGCAAAACATGGATTTAACATGTTACAGCTATTTAAACAATAATAATGTGCATTTACAGTGGTGTGAAAAAGTGTTTGCCCCCTTACTGATTTCTTATCTTTTTGCATGTTTGTCACACTGTAATGTTTCAGATCGTCAAACAAATTTATATATTAGTCAAAGATAACACAAGTAAACACATCATGCAGTTTTTAAATGAAGGTTTTTATTATTAAGGGAAAACAAAATCCAAAACTATATAGCCCTGTGTGAATAAGTGTTTGCCCCCTAAACCTAATAACTGGTTGGGCCACCCTTAGCAGCAACAACTGCAATCAAGCGTTTTCGATAACTTGCCATGAGTCTTTTACAGCGCTGTGGAGGAATTTTGGCCCACTCATCTTTGCAGAATTGTTGTAAGTCAGCCACATTGGAGGGTTTTCGGGCATGAACTGCCTTTTTAAGGTCATGCCACAGCATCTCAATTGGATTCAGGTCAGGACTTTGACTAGGCCACTCCAAAGTCTTCATTTTGTTTTTCTTCAGCCATTCAGAAGTGGACTTGCTGGTGTGCTTTGGATCATTGTCCTGCTGCAGAACCCAAGTTCGCTTCAGCTTGAGGTCACAAACGGATGGCCGGACATTCTCCTTCAGGATATTTTGGTACACAGCAGAATTCATGGTTCCATTTATCACAGCAAGTCTTCCAGGGCCTGAAGCAGCAAAACAGCCCCAGACCATCCCACTACCACCACCATATTTTACTGTTGGTATGATGTTCTTTTTCTGAAATGCGGTGTTACTTTTACGCCACACATAATGGGACACACACCTTCCAAAAAGTTCAACTTTTGTCTCGTCTGTCCACAGAGTATTATCCCAAAAGTCTTGGGGATCATCAAGATGTTTTCTGGCAAAACTGAGACGAGCCTTTATGTTCTTTTTGCTCAGCAGTGGTTTTCGTCTTGGAACTCTGCCATGCAAACCATTTTTGCCCAGTCTCTTTCTTATGGTGGAGTCATGAACACTCAGCTTAACTGAGGCAAGTGAGGCCTGCAGTTCTTTGGATGTTGTTGTGGGGTCTTTTGTGACCTCTTGGATGAGTTGTCGCTGCGCTCTTGGGGTAATTTTGGTCGGCTGGCCACTCCTGGGAAGGTTCTCCACTGTTCCATGTTTTCGCCATTTGTGGATAATGGCTCTCACTGTGGTTCGCTGCAGTCCCCAAGCTTTAGAAATGGCTTTATAACCTTTTCCGGACTGATAGAGCTCCATTATTCTCTTTCTCATTTGTTTTTGAATTTCTTTGGATCTCGGCATGATGTCTAGCTTTTGAGGATCTTTTGGTCTACTTCACTTTGTCAGGCAGGTCCTATTTAAGTGATTTCTTGATTGCGAACAGGTGTGGCAAGAGAAATTGAACTCAGGTGCGATAAACCAGTGTTTTGACAGGGGGGCAAACACTTGTTCACACAGGGCTCTATAGTTTTGGATTTTGTTTTCCCTTAATAATAAAAACCTTCATTTAAAAACTGCATGATGTGTTTACTTGTGTTATCTTTGACTAATATATAAATTTGTTTGACGATCTGAAACATTACAGTGTGACAAACATGCAAAAAGATAAGAAATCAGTAAGGGGGCAAACACTTTTTCACACCACTGTATGTACTGCACAACTAGTTAAGATTAAGAGAGAAGGTGAAAGTGTGCATAGGTGTGTGAGTGAAAGAGATGCACCAAGACAGAAACTGAATCAAAGCTCAACTTTACACAGTAGCGTTGGAAACTAATACAAATCTTTATATATGGAACTACAGTGGATGTCCTGAAAAGGGGTATTACACTTTGAAGGTAATTTAACATAAGGTAATTGTCAGGATATGCTGTATGTGTCAATAATAAACTCATCATAGATGAGAGGAATGTAAAGTCAGAAAACGTGTCAGTAATTTGTACATCTACTGTAGTTATTTTTTTTAAGATTGGTCTCCACCCTGAAGGATCTACAGTATAAATGTGCATGTACTATATAAACACTAATCTATTAAAGGAATGAGTGCAAACTTACCTACAGTCATGGCCCAAAATATTGGTACCGCTGAACTTCTGTCAGGTAATGCATCACTACTCCCAGAAAACTGCTGCAATCAGAAATTTGTTTATTTCTTTTGCTTGCATTGGAATCAAACACACACACACAAACAGTCAAATCTGATATGTTCTACACAGAACTCCAAAAATGGACTGGACAGAATTATTGACAAACTCAACTTAATATTTAGTAGCACACCCAAGTAACCATCAGTGAGTTTCTTCCACCTCTCTACTGGTGTTTTGGACCACTCTTCTTTTGCCAGCTGTTCCATGTCTCTGATTTGAAGGCATCCTTCTCCCAGCTGCTGTTCTGAGATCTCTTTACAGGTGCTCTATGGGATTTAGATCTGGACTAATTGCTGATCACTTCAGAATCTCCAGCACATTGTCTGAAGCCATTTCTGGTGCTTTTTGAAGTCTGCAACTTTCTGGACCCTAAACTGTGCCCCAAAATTCATTGGTAGTCTTCAGATTTCATAATGCCATACACACAGTCAAGACATCCAATGCCTGAAGCAGCAAAGCAGCCCCAGAGCATCAGTGACCTTCCACCATATTTGACTGTAGGGACAATGTTTTTTCCTTTGAAGGCCTCATTTGGTTTTCTGAAAACAATAGAATGATGTGCGTGACCAAACAGCTCCATTTCTGTCTCATCTGTCAACAGGGCATTCTCCCAGAGGGATTGTGGCTTCCTCAGTAAGCCTTCCAATCAGGCTCTTTTATGTCAGTACGACAGCAGTAGGGTCCCCCTGGGTCTCGCGCCATAGAGCCCCTAGTCATTCAGATGGTGATGGATAGTGCGAGCTGACAGTGTTGCACCCTGTGTCTGCAGGTCAGCTTGAACTTGTTTGGAAGATGATCAAGGTTTTTTAATCCACCATTCAAACAATCCTTTGCTGCAATCTGTTATCTATTTTCCTCTTTCGCCCACGTCCAGGGAGATCAGCTACAGCGCCATGGGCTGTAAACATCCTGACAATGTTGTGCACAATGGACAAAGGGACAGCCAGATCTTTGGAGATGGACTTGTAGGCTTGAGACTGTCCAGGATTTTCCACGCTTGTGGTTCTCACATCCTCAGACAATTCTTTGCTCTTCTTTTTTTTTTTTCCATGCTCAATGTGGGCCACACAACACGAAGGCTGAGTCAACGTTTCTCCATTTTAAATGTGATTTCTATATTGCCAACACCTGTTGGTTGCTACAGGTGAGTTTCATTACAAATTAAAGGACCATCACATGCTTGAAATACAACTATTTCTGATGATTTTGAAAAGGTGTCAGTAATTCTGAGCAGTCCATGTTTGGAGTTCTGTGTGGAATGATCAAATAGTGGCTCACTGGATCTGGAGCCTCGCAGTTTTGACTGAATAGTTGTGTGTGATACAGCATTACTCCAGTAAGATCCAAGAAACAGAAAGACAACTTCCTCGTTAATGCACCTTAAATCAAACACACACACACAAACAGTCAAATCTGATATGTTCTACACAGAACTCCAAAAATGGACTGGACAGAATTATTGACAAACTCAACTTAATATTTAGTAGCACACCCAAGTAACCATCAGTGAGTTTCTTCCACCTCTCTACTGGAGTTTTGGACCACTCTTCTTTTGCCAGCTGTTCCATGTCTGATTTGAAGGCATCCTTCTCCCAGCTGCTGTTCTGAGATCTCTTTACAGGTGCTCTATGGGATTTAGATCTGGACTAATTGCTGATCACTTCAGAATCTCCAGCACATTGTCTGAAGCCATTTCTGGTGCTTTTTGAAGTCTGCAACTTTCTGGACCCTAAACTGTGCCCCAAAATTCATTGGTAGTCTTCAGATTTCTGGACCCTACACTGTGCCCTAAAATTCATTGGTAGTCTTCAGATTTCATAATGCCATACACACAGTCAAGACATCCAGTGCCTGAAGCAGCAAAGCAGCCCCAGAGCATCAGTGACCTTCCACCATATTTGACTGTAGGGACAGTGTTTTTTCCTTTGAAGGCCTCATTTGGTTTTCTGAAAACAATAGAATGATGTGCTTGACCAAACAGCTCCATTTCTGTCTCATCTGTCCACAGGACATTCTCCCAGAGGGATTGTGGCTTCCTCAGTAAGCCTTCCAATCAGGCTCTTTTATGTCTGTACGACAGCAGTAGGGTCCCCCTGGGTCTCGCGCCATAGAGCCCCTAGTCATTCAGATGGTGATGGATAGTGCGAGCTGACAGTGTTGCACCCTGTGTCTGCAGGTCAGCTTGAACTTGTTTGGAAGATGATCAAGGTTTTTTAATCCACCATTCAAACAATCCTTTGCTGCAATCTGTTATCTATTTTCCTCTTTCGCCCACGTCCAGGGAGATCAGCTACAGCGCCATGGGCTGTAAACATCCTGACAATGTTGTGCACAATGGACAAAGGGACAGCCAGATCTTTGGAGATGGACTTGTAGGCTTGAGACTGTCCAGGATTTTCCACGCTTGTGGTTCTCACATCCTCAAACAATTCTTTGCTCTTCTTTTTTTTTTTCCATGTTCCATGTGGGCCACACACACAACACGAAGGCTGAGTCAACGTTTCTCCATTTTAAATGTGATTTCTATATTGCCAACACCTGTTGGTTGCTACAGGTGAGTTTCATTACAAATTAAAGGACCATCACATGCTTGAAATACAACTATTTCTGATGATTTTGAAAAGGTGTCAGTAATTCTGAGCAGTCCATGTTTGGAGTTCTGTGTGGAATGATCAAATAGTGGCTCACTGGATCTGGAGCCTCGCAGTTTTGACTGAATAGTTGTGTGTGATACAGCATTACTCCAGTAAGATCCAAGAAACAGAAAGACAACTTCCTCGTTAATGCACCTTAAGTTGGCTTGCAAAC